TTTCTGCCAATTCCAAATGAATTATTTTTTCACTTAACAAATTCATGTTGAAATTTATTTTCTTACAAAAATTATGCGCATAAATTTTCTTTGAATGATATGATTTTGGCTAGGATACTTTAATTTTGGCAAAAACTTTTTATTATTTGTCTTAGTAAAAATACTAGGTGCAACCAAATTCGAAGAGCCTTATCAAAAAAAAACTGATAAATTTAATTTAAATTTGCTATTGATTTATGCCAAAATTATGTTATAAATTAACTTATTGTTAAGCTGTAGTATGGAAACTATGGAATCTTGTGAGTACATTTGGATGAGTAAAACTCCCAAAGTTCCAGCAGTGTCAACGGACCCTTTATTGTCTTTTCCACTTTAATGATTAGTCTGCCCTTGTGACTTGAGATTAGATTTTTCCAGAAAAACTTTTGCTTCTCCCGGCAGCTCATATAATACTTTCGCATATTACAATTTGGTGGAGAGGCGCTTTGCCCAGAGGCACTTTATCAAAGATCAGCATTGATACCCCTCTGCAGAACATATTCCCCCCATCAAAAAGCGGCAGACAAACAGCAGAGCGAACCAGTCGTCCAAATCCAAACAACTCATGCTCGGCATTTATTTGCCTTGCAAACGCAGCGTTTTTCCCTCCTGTGAGGGAGCGGGCAGCACCTGATAGGTATGCAGACCCGCCTGGCTCTCTCATGGGGATTCAGGGACGCAGAGTAGTTTTATACATATGAAAGCAAAACCCACCAACTGCTTATCAAAGGAATAAAATGCGAGATAGACTTTCTTTATATTTATATACGCGTCCGTCTGCGCTGCGTGCTAATGCCGGTAATGCCCTCTCGCGACGAGGAAACCCCGCGGCGTGCAAACCATTGTTTAATCGTCAAAAGTCAGATAAGGGCTTTGTGATGAATGATGCACGAAAGCGAAAAAACTGTGCCGCTGAATATGCAGCAGGCAGGAGGACGCTTGGCCCTGTTTGCTTGACCTGACAGGTCGCAGGCCAAAGGATGACCTCGTGATAGCAAACAGGATTCTTTTCTCTTTTCTTGTGCGTTACTCTAGATTTGAGGAATGCTGGTTTTGCACAGAATGGGCTCTTCAAGTATTTCAAATTATTTTTTAAAATTTTTAATTTTCATAATTTTCATCCATTAGATGGGTGATTCAATGGAGAAGAATTTTTTTATTGTTTTTTAACATAAATTAACTTCATTGATTAATTGATTGATGAATTTTTTTTATTTAATTTTAAATATCGTTAATAGAATAGCGCATCGCATATTAATTAAAGAAAAATTTAAAAAATGAAAAAAAATTGTCTTGGGCTCCTAAAAATAGTCAAAATGCATGACAAATTTGTGCTGCATAGCTTAAAAATTCCGCAGTCCCTCTTCCTGCTTCTGTCTTTCAGTCCTCGAACAATCCAATGCCATCCCCTCAGGGCAGCCTGGCTCAAGCAAACTCATTTTTGCGGCTGGCCAAATTTAATTAGGCATAATGTTTGAGGTCGGTTTTTTACTCTAGCATTCACTGTGGCAGACACCTGTGCAGCAGCAGGCGTCAAGGGTGGCTGAGTCGAAATTACAAATTTGGCCCTCGCCGAAAGGATGGCACGGCTCATCGATCCCCTAAACCCTCTGAGTAGCAGCTTGCTGGTGTAGGTTGGGGTTGCAGCCCCTCCACTATCCACTCACTACACTACATATCTTGAGCGGCAGGAATCAATACTGCTCGGCTCTCGCGTTCTCTCTTCCACACACACATAATACAGCCTCTCTCTCTCTCGCGCGCGCACAAAGAAGCTCGGCCAAAGATGCTGCCTCTCATGTAATTTCCAGAGAAAAGCAGCCGGCCGAAAGGACAGGCAAAAGCGGTGGTGGCGCTCCCCAAATTGCGATTTGTGCTGCGTCGAGGGCCATCCAGCAAGACATTTCGACTGCGCAGCTCCAACACCTCTTTAGTGTCACCAGATGGTCCATTTTTGAGAGGCTGCTCCACCCTTCGATTTGTACCTATTTGTTTCAAGCGGTTTGACCTCTTTAATTTTTATACAAAGGGTGCGTGCAGTTAGGGCAGATTTTGTATTATAAAAAATGGCATAAGACTTTTTATTAACAAATTTTTTTTTTTTTTAAATGTTAAAACTAATGTAAACTTATTTTTTTTTTTTAAATAAATTTTTAAACTATAATTTGTAAATATTTTAGAAAAAACAAATATTTTTACAATTAATTTGATTACAAACATTTTCATTTGATCCTTCAAAATTATTCCTATGCTATAAAATTATCACGCGCTCTAAAAATAATATAAATATTTTGTCCTTCTCAAGATTGTGGTTAAGATAATTTTGTTACTATGACATTGACCTTGCTTGTGTAACTCATCCTTCTGTGATCCACCTTTGAATTATAACTTCATTAATCTCTTAAGTCAAGAACAATCAAGAATAATAGTTACATATTAGATACAATTAATAGATGAAGACTGGGATAGTTATTTAAAATATTTGCTTTTGCACAAAGTTATTTAATCTAATTGTTAGTTTCTTACTTAACAATGAAAATATCTCACTCAAGTTATGGTTGTTGGTTTCATTCTCAGATTCCTCTTTTTATTTCTCTCTTTCAATTATTTCGCATCGCTTAAATCACCATAATGTGACGTGCGTGTGTGTTTGCGTGCATTGAACACAAGGAAATCTGATTGGCCATTAAGAGATACTTACCCAACCAGCGCGCTCTCCGCAAAAGCAATAAAGGCGCGAGTTACGAGCCACGTATGAGTCTCTTGCATTATACGTTGGGCTCATGCACTACTCCCTCTCAGCCGAGTTGTATATGACCGCACGTTATTACGCGGCTGCAATTATATCGCATTATGCCCTGCGAAGAGAGGATAAATTTAATCCCCAATTAAGTGAGCCGAGCCGGCGCTCCCGCCCTTAATCCGCAGCGTGTAACGCTCTCGCACAACTCCATCAAATGAATTAATGCCCCACTCGTTCCACGCGCAATCGTATGATTAGAAATTAAATGTACTGGACATATTTACTCCTTTATTGGCTTAAAATGGCAGAATAGGTTGGCTTTAATCGTGTAAAGACTGCACAATGGTGGTTTTAAATTATTACTGGATTGACGAAATTTTAAAATATGTAATTAAAATTCTAAAATTCGTCAATAACTTGAATGGCATAATATAAGTATATTAAATATTTGATTTTGAAAAAATTAGAACTTCAAAATAAGTGAGCTCTGAATTTATACCGACACATTATAAATTTGCCGAGTTTATGAGCCAAACAAAGTAAACAAGATAAATCCTTTCTCTCTCTCTTTTAACCATAAATAAATTATACAATAAATAATAATTATTGATTGAAAAATAGGAAAGAATGAATTCATGCCATGGCTTAAACAAACAGAATTTTGTTTCAGCCTACCAAATGTGAATCGTGAAGTAGAATCCTTCTGTCAAATTATTTGTATTGTGCAATGCTGATCAATGTAAACACATCAATAAAACACAACGGCTGTGCTAAAGCCAGCCATATTGCGCAGCAATATTATTTTCTTCCCCTGGACAAACACCAAGGGTGGATTTCAGTGCGTGCGAGCGTTGATCTGTTTAGTTGGCGCATGTTCCTGGTCCGTCCTTTCATATTTTGTGCCAAGATAAATAACGTGCGCGCTGGACAAACACAGACAAGTGTAAATTCAGCACGCATTATCACCAAAAGGGAGCTTGTGCAGCTCTTTTTTGCTCTCTCTGGTTAAAAACTTCTTTTGCGTGTCATGGAAGTTATTCAAAAAATCATATTTCCTGGTGAGTTATTGACGCACAGGCAAATCACTCCTCTGCGCGAGCTCAACTTTATTGAGACGTGTCGTCTCGATGAAGAAATATCGATACGCGCTGGCAGTTTGTCTTTTTCGCAGGCGGAGGTGATTGCCTCCATTTCTGGCACCGCGTGCGCACGCGGTGAAATATGGCTCCATTGATCATTTGATGCAAGACCCCGCTCTGCCAATGCGACACCACAATAAGATGAAGTCATCCCGAAAGAGCTAGTCTGCCGCCGAGGGCCAGAGTTCACACTCGCTCCTCTCCAGCAGCTTTCCTTATTCGAACACTGTTGTAATTGCAAAGTTTCGAGCACATAAGTGCACAACTCTGCTTACACATTATGCTGGCTCCAACTTTGGTTCAGAAATGTCTTCACTTTATTCCTTAATTCCGTTAAAAAGGTGAAGATCGGAACTGTCCTTTTTGTAATAATTTGTTATTAATTTGTCTCCCTCATTTGAATAAATGCTATAATAATGTAAACATTTTTCTATGTTTTCGCGACTGCTTTGATATAGACGCATATTTTTAATTTTACATCGTTTTTCGTTTATCTCATGATTCACAGACAACAGAAACAGAGCATTTGAACCTTGGTACGATTTACTGACTTTACAGTTAAGAAATTAATGTATGTGACAATTCCATTACCCTCTTAGGTAATATATTAATTTTACAAATATTTAAACGGAAAAAATTTCTTAGTTAATTCAACAAATTTTAGAATAAAACAGAAATAGAAACTAAAATTTCTTAAATAAATGCATAAGTTATTTAATTTAAAAAATTGTTTTGTGACCAAATATCTTATTGTTTAAAATAGATCAATAAAATTTCATCTATTACCCAGTTGTTCCTTTTTTACTAAGATTAGTAAAAACACATTACAAACAATTTACTAACGCTTTGTAGCAAAATGGATTACAACGTTAGTAATTCCATTTTACTAACATTAGTAATTTCCATTTACAAAGAACTTACTTACATTTTACTAACCTGTTTGTCAGTCTTAGTAATTTAAATTTACTATCATTTTACTATGGTACTGGAAAGCTTTAACTAAAATAATATTGATTCAATTTTAATTGATCTCATAGATCCTTTTATTTAAAAATTTTCAATTCTGTATCACATTTTTTTTTAAATACAACACAATTACAGTATAGAAATCATAAATAAGGATAATAATTGCACTGCATGGATCTGCGTGGAACTGTCTTCTCCCTCAAAGCAAATTGTTCTAACTTGGCAGGTCACGATGTCTGAAAAAAAAATACAAAAAAATATTTTATTATACACCAGATTGAATTAAATATTAAAATTGAAAAAAAAATTATAATTTCATTCACGTGTATGTACTCTAATTTAATTGGAATTTAATGATTGTATTATTAAATATACAAAAACAAATTAACTACCTGTAATAGTCCGTAGCTCACAATCAGAGGAGGTTGAACGGAGTTTCCATTATAGATGATCTTATAGAAAGTCTCTCCATCGAGGAATTGACTTGAACTGAAAATTTTAAAACACAATTTAATATTTTTTGGGTAGATTAATATTTTCAGATAACAATTTAGTGTATCACTGGATCTAAATTATTTAAATAGAGCTTACCTTAAATAATTTCAAAAAATCAGTCCGCGAGCGCAGAGATGACGCGAGTGGAAAACAAGTCGGCTGTCGCTATCGCCTTTTGCTACGACGGGGCCCGGTGATGATGGAGGTGCGCTCTAGCAGGGCAGACGCCGGCGTATTTTTTACTCGTCTTGAGCTAGCTTTTGGCCGAAAACGGATGCAAAGCAGTTCATCGTCTTATGGAAATTTTCTTGCACATCGCACGTTGTATTAAAATGACCATCCGCGTTTAATTCACCGCACAAAAGAAGAAAAATAACACTGGCTGCGGCCATAACACACCCACTCTGCACACTTATCAAAAATGTGCTCTAAAAGTTCGTTGGGCGCTCAGGTGGAGAGCAGCGCCGAACTTGTGCGGGGGTGGGTTATCGAATGTCCATAGTAAACTCAAATTACAAAAAATTTACAAACAATTTTACTAAGAGATTTTAGTAAAGTGTTTGTAAACACTTTTTACTATCCTTAGTAAAATGTTTAGTAATTCTTTAGTAAGTTTTGTAAAATTTTACTTACCGGGCCACGAATTACTATCATTTTACTATGTTAGTCATATGTAAGTAAAGTTGGAACAACTGGGTAGAATTAAAACTTATTTTGTTTTCTTCTTCTGCTTGCTCTGTGTATAATTTCTTAGTTGATAAGGTGTGAGTGGCACGATTTTCTAAGCACGTCTGACTTGCTGCAGTGCTCGTCTCTCGCGGTATATTTGCACAGCGGAGGTGCCGCGGTGAAGCAATAAAAATAATGATGATAATTCTCCGCAAGCAGTTTCTTTCTGCCTTTCTCATTTCAGAGGGCGCAGATATTAATCTCAAGCGCGCCTCGCTTGCTTGTTTCTCTCTTTCTGCTCAAGCTCGGATAGAAACACGGATGATATTAAACGTCTGGAGAGCTGCTGCTTTTTTATATCATTTTGTGCCGCGCGCGCTGGCGAATGTAAAAAGCTCATGTCAGCGTGGAAGGCGAAACAATGGCCGTGTGCATCATCAAGAAGGCGAAGCAGCGATCGCCAACATTTTATGCCTTGCCTTATGACCTCTCTATTTACTTTTGGATCCATCTGCGCCCACGAGCCGGCCTTTTGCGGAATCAGGGAGCAACGGAGAACGCAGAAATAATTCAGTGCCAACCTCTGAACCATAAGTTCTTTGTGATATGCGCGGTTCAAATCTTCTCTCTTTGTTTTCAGCTGTTGAGTAGTTTCCCATGAACAAATTTATGCAATATTTCCTTATCTATAATTAAAAAGATGTACCTATTTTATAATCTACTTTTTTGATTAAAAATTTTTAATAAGAAGGCTAATTATTTTTATCTTTCTGTTTCAGGTGAGTTTCTGACTCCTTAATTTTCAAGAACGCCAAATTAAAGGGCTCCAGTATGTATGTATTTATTTTCTTTTCACCTGTTTTCACCAAGTACAATTAACTTTCAAAATCATGGAAATAAAATTTTCTGTGAAGCGGTGAGTTGGTTGCATTTTATACAATAAATAAAAGAAAATTCATTCCATTATTAAAATAATTAAATTTAAACTTCTTTGAAGAACAAGAACAATGATTTATTGTTAGTTTTCGAATAATTAAATGAGGCTAAAAGCAGATAATTTCCATTATAAGCATACAAATCCAGACACATGCAGGTTTGCACTGAGATTGAACGAATGAACGTGTAATGCAAATAAAAATTTATGATGCTGCGTTTATCAAATGCACACATTCGCAACGATGCGGGTTGATGCATGCAAGCGAATAAATAGTGGCGCTCACATATTATATGAAAATTTAACTGTCGGGCGGCCATTTAAAATGCCAGTGGCGATGATGCAGCAGCCATAACGTATTATACATGATTATTTTATCCACCGGCATGCGATTCGGTAATGGATATTCACTTCATGCTATTATATTAGTTAGTGCCGAGTGCGCGGAATTCAAAGCGCGCCGCTCCGCTCTGCAGTGCACATAATAAAATTTGATTTACTCGCCATCAGCGAAAACGACCAATAAAGTATAATTTTGACCGGCAAATATGGCGTCCCATGGCGTCTGCAATAAATTGTAGCAACTAAAATTGTGCACTTTACATTAACAACATTGTATACTGTTAATAGTTGCATTGGAACTTACCAAAATTTTACAAAAATAAAAAGAAGCTTAAAATATGACAGCTAAATTAAAAAAAAGTAAAATTACAATTTTTTTTTTATTGTATGCCATACCGAGTTATGTCATCAAAAAGTATCAATATTATTTTAATTTTTATTTCAATTAACAGCCAAGGATGTTGTAGTTTCTTGAACGTTCTAAATTTTTTTCGTTCTTTTTCTGGACATTCACTATTCAATCAAACAATGCTATAATCAGTTAAAATTAAACCTTTAGAGTTTGCTCTCCTTGCCGCGTTTCTTAATCCCATTCATGACCTCAGCTGATGGAACTGAAACAATATAATTGTTGTTTATTCTACTGAGGCAAAAAGCAAAAGAGTTAGAGGCGCACGAAGAGAATAAGTAGCAACCGAGCTACTCTGCATGCAAAAAGCTGAATAGATATTACACTGCCCCAAGCTACTCTTCCCTTTTTGCTCGCGAGCGAAAGATCCACTAACGCTTTTATTGTAATTTCTTGCAGTGCAGCGCCGTTCTCGAGATCATTAGCCATTGTTTCCACCCTCGCCGCGCTTCACCTCCTAAACACGAGAAGCTCATTTCTACCTTTTGTTCGGCTTTCCTGCCTCCGACTCAATTAACTCTTGCAAAATCATTTTCCGGCCGTTGCATGCAAAAATTGCCTCCACTTGTAAACTCAACCGAGATGAATTTCCTTTCCCGCTCACGCGGCAAATTCAGAGGAAATAATTTTGGCCCAAAAAGAGCGACGAAACTCGATCACAACGAGTGTATATTTTTGAACCGTCGACACTTCTCTGTACACGAGTGGAAATGTTTTCGTTCGTGTTCCTGACAAAGTGGAAATTCGCCCAGAGCTCTCTTTCTGTCGGTTTGCATTTTCGGCACACGCATATATTAATCCTATGTACGCGTGCGGCACCAAAATGGACGCTCGCGAATTTAATTCCACTGTTATGGTGGTCTTCTGGTCCACGGAGCGTGATAATCCCCTCGGTGGTCATTGAGCGCGGTTTTGTCCGCCGATAAATACCTCGGCGAGAGCGAAATGCAAAGCCCCTTTTGCGCATATATGGCGCGAGGTAACAGTGCGAGAGCGAGACCGTCTCACCCAGGATTCGCCGCAAAATGCAAAACGGAATGTGAAATTGTTGGTATGGCGCCCCAATTTCCTGCAAGGCTGTTAAGTGAGGAAAATTGCTTGAAAATGTGTTGATATTTTTTCCCTTTTAATCCCAATTCAAGAAATAATCTATGCTTCATTCAAGTCTTTTATTCTCTCACAACAAGTCTTTCTAGAAATAAATAAAATTATTATAATAACAAATCTAGCTACAGGCTTTCCAATTTGAAATAAAAATTTGGCTGAAATTTTAATTGTGATAGTTTTAATTTTACAACTTTTATGGAGCATGTTTGGTTCAAAAGGCAAAAATATTTTAAAAATGAAAATGCTCTTTTCAAACTATTTATGCAAAGGCTGTGGTGTTTTATATTTAAAAATATATGCAGACATTTTAATTACAAAGTTAATCAGAATAATATATTGTAAATTTCTCCAAATACTTGCTTCATTAATTCATTCAAAAAAAATTATCACATTATTTATGCAGTATAAAATAGATATCAATAATATTTAAGCCCTGATATGTCTTAGTGAATTCAACATATTAATTTAATTCAAAAAAATCCTAATTATGACAAAAGATTTTATTGATTTCAGTTAATTTGTTAATTTGCAACGAAAGCAAATAAAATATCAAAATTTAATGAATAAATGAGAATAAATTTTAAGTAACAACTATTATTTAATTAAAAATAAAAAAATACTTTTTTTCCCCTCCAACCTCCAATTTTCCCTTTCAATCGTCCAGTCTCCAGTGCATATAAAAATTTGATAAGCACATAAATCAATTGGGTGAACATTATTTTTTTTCTTCAAGGAACGGTCATTATGAAAGTTTTTCTCTGCGGAGAAAAAAAATCACGACGCCGACGGCGATTTGCTCAATTCAATTTACTCGATGGTTTTGTGTGATAGAGAGAGAGGTTAGGGTGCAGCAAAATAAATTGGCGAGCTTTTCCATCATCGCGCCAAGCGGCAGCGTCGTCGGGGCAGAATTTATTTATCGCTCGGCGGCGTAAGAGGCATTTTTCCATTTTCAAAAATTAATGAGCGCTATTCAAAGGTTGGCCATAAATTTCAGCACGCCGCGCACACACAATAAATGCGAGCGCGCCGCTTTAAATTATGAACGACATTCGCTTCGGACCTATATAATAATATCGACTATTTACCTCGTGAATGGCTGCTAATAATTGTTAATTAATCATATTCAGCTGCGTTTATGTGAAACGACCACGCGAAGAAACAATAAAGCAAATATAGATGTGAGCGAGAAAACTGGATTTTTTTGCAAACAGGTAACATGATACAACCATTTGATATTTATTGGTTTGAGACGAGCCGAGTCGACAATAGCTGCATAGCCATTTGAAAGGATGCAAAAAAATTAATAAGTTTACCTAAATTAAGTAATTGTTAAAATTTAATAAAATTTTAATTTAAAATTGCTTTCACAATATTTTTCGAAGTAGTTAAAATTTTATAACGTCTATTTTTTTAAATTAAATAATTTTTAATTACAATCTACTTTGTATATAATGACATTATTTGCTTTTCTTAATAGTCAATTTATAATTATTGAAAATTGTTTATACTTAAAACATAGATGTTTATAATTTAAGATTCTGTGCTCTTTACTGGAGATTTAATTTAAAACTATTATTCTAATGAAGATTTTTTAGAATCTGTTGCTAGCATACTTATGAAATTAAAAATAGAATGATTCTTAATATGAACTTAAAACAAAACATCCATTGATTTTATCTTCATAAGATTTCACATTGAAATTGATATTGTAGCTAAAATTTAATTTAATTGAAAAATCTATTAGCGTCCACAAAATTGAATTAATATGATACAATACTTTGTATTTTGTTGTTTAAAAGAGGCCTTTTAAAAATTTTACAAGCATCAAGTAAATATCAAATTGTTTTCCCTCTATCACTGAGGTTTACTAAGAATTTTAATAAAAAAAAAATTAAACTTTTACCACCGAGATAAAAATTAATTTTCTGTTCACGTCCTTGTCTCACCAGGAGAATGTAATTGAAGACTC